TGATTGTGTGATAAGATAGATAGGTATATTGGTACATAGATGATATTAATATATATAGAGTTGCCATTTGGCCATAAATTTTAATTTTTAACTTTTAAAGGGCTGATAATTAAAGTTGAGTTTGGTATAGTCTATAATTTTGTAATTTCAAAATCCTAAGAGAGAATAACAAAGAGAAGACCATTATTTTACCTCAGTGGGCAACATAATACTAATAGTAATAATGCCTTACATTTGTATTACACTTTTTATTTACAAAGTGCTATAAGGTTTACTTATTCCTCACAGCCACCCTAGGGGAACATAGGGATGACATTTTATCTCCATTTACAGATAAGTGTAGTTCAAAGAGCTTGATTTTTTTAGTAACTAAAAAACCAGGACTTGTGTTTTCTGTCTTGTTTTTTTTTTGAAACGGAGTCTCACTCTGTTGCCCAGGGTAGAGTGCCATGGTGTCAGCCTAGCTCACAGCAACCTCCAAACTCCTGGCTCAAGCAATCCGTCTGCCTCAGCCTCCCGAGTAGCGGTAGCTGGGACTACAGCGGCCACCATCGCTCGGCTAATTTTGTTTATATTTTAGTTGCCATCTAATTTTTTCTATCTTTAGTAGAGACGGGGTCTTACTCTTGGTCAGGCTGGTCTCGAATTCCTGAGCTCCAACAATCCACCCGCCTGGGCCTCCCAGAGTGCTAGGATTACAGGCGTGAGCCCGGCCTAGTTTTCTAATCTTCTGATACGACTTTATGTCTCTTTCTCCTACATAAAAGGTCACATGACAGGTTAATTCCTTAGAAAAACAAGATCTTCCTTCAATAAAGTTCTGCATCTAATTCCATGTGCCCCAACTTCATTTACTTATTTCCACAACACGCCCATCTTTTGCTTACATATTAACCAGCCTAACCTCTTTACAATTTAGTCTTTTATTTTTTTTATTTTCCATCTCTGCCATTGTTCTGAACTAATTCCACTTATGAAATGGCCTCTGTCCTCTTTCCCCCAGCTTCTGTCTACCATTTTTAAAAATTTACCTCTATGATTTTTTTTGCCTGACACATGCCATATCCACTTTATATGTAAAAGAACATTATTCTCACCTTACAGAATGTTCTCACAGCCTCCAATTCCCATTTTAATTTTCACTGCCCTATAATATTTTTGGTTGCTTTTTTTTTTTTTTTTTTGAGACAGAGTCTCACTTTGTTGCCCAGGCTAGAGTGAGTGCCATGGCGTCAGCCTAGCTCACGGCAACCTCAAACTCCTGGGCTCAAGCAATCCTCCTGCCTCAGCCTCCCGAGTAGCTGGGACTACCGGCATGCACCACCATGCCTGGCTAATTTTTTGTGTATATGTATTAGTTGGCCAATTGATTTCTTTCTATTTATAATAGAGATGGGGGTCTCGCTCTTGCTCAGGCTGGTCTCGAACTCCTGACCTTGAGCAATCCGCTCTCCTCGGCCTCCCAGAGAGCTATGATTACAGGCATGAGCCACCTGTGCCCAGCCCGTTTGCTTTGTTTTTAAAATGCATTCTCAGGCAGAACACTGACCTATAGTATTAACTACATCATCTTCCTAAACCTTTGAGCCCTTCTCCAATTTCTGCTGCAATTTTAACGTTATTTTCTAAGGTCAAGTTTTTTTAAATAAAGTGCTGAACATGCCATCTCACTCTCTACCTAAATTCAGATGAGTTCAGACCACAGGCTCCACAACCAGTGAGCTACAGAATGTGTATCCCTTGCTGAGTGTTGCCACTTATTAACACTACCAAGCTGTGTGACTTCTTGAAGCCATAGTACTTTGCCTGTGCAATGGAGATGATAATATCTATCTCAGTGGTTTACAATGTGCATAGAAGGAGGTAATGGTGCAGGGAATATACGTAGGAGACAATACATGTTGGCTCTTGATATTTTTTAATTTAAAAAAACTGGAATATTTTTGCAGTGAGTAATAATACAGGAACATAGAACTAACTCAGGCCTACTTTGGTTGCAGCACCTCACAACGGATCAGGCATGAATATAGTGTTTTTTTTAAATTTTGTTTTATTTTTTGAGACAGAGTCTCACTCTGTCACCAGGGCTAGAGTGCTGTGGCATCAGCCTAGTTCACAGCAACCTCAAACTCCTGGGCTCAGGTGATCCTCCTGCCTCAGCCTCCTGGGTAGCTGGGACTACAGGCATGCGCCACCATGCTTGGCTAATTTTTTCTATAGATTTTTAGTCGGCCAATTAATTTCTTCCTATTTTTAGTAGAGACGGGGTCTCGCTCCTGCTCAGGCTGGTTTCAAACTCCTGACCTTGAGCTATTAACCCACCTCGGCCTCCCAGAGTGCTAGGATTATAGGCACGAGCCACTGCACCCGGCCAATTATTATGGTGTTTAGGTAGTCAATGTGGTAGTCAGAAATGTTTTGTCTCTCTGAAGTACTGGATAGACATTTTCTGTGACCAGACAAAAATATAACAAGGAGAAACTATGGGTTAATTTCATCATGTCTGAGCACTGTTACTATAAGATCAGAAACAAAGTGGAACATAAATACAATCAAATGATAATCATAATAATGGCTCCAACAGGTGTAACAACCACAGTAGTCATCTTTAGTGAAACAGTCCAAAATTTTCAGTTCATAAGATCACAAAACTGGTTAGTTTCTTGAAATTAACTAAATTATCAAAGATCAATGCCCAGTTTATCTTTTACTAAAGCATGATAGTCTAGTTACTTCTCTTTTTGTTTTACACCTAAGCTCGCCCAGAAATATGGCTCCATTTACAGCATTCAAATGGGGCCAAAGAAGGTGGTGGTACTCTCTGGCTATGAGACAGTGAAAGATGCCCTCATTAATTATGGTGATCAATTTGGGGAACGATCTCAAGTGCCTATATTTGAAAGACTTTTTGAAGGAAAAGGTAATGAACTCTAAAACTTAAAGCATATCCCTGTGGTTAAAATTATTAAATCAATTAGACTCTATTCTCTTGATTAATTCCTTCTATTCTTTAATTTTTTCTTTATCAATACGTATTATATCAATAGAAATTACTAAAGAGAAAATTTACAATTTGTGATTTTATTCTTATTTTACTTAACCATTGCTTCTATTAAGCTAATAATTATTAACTACTTACTAGGTGAAAAAATACAACGTTAGATGCCAGAGAAATACAAAGACAAAAAAGAGAGAGAGGCTATCATTTTAGAGGGGTCTAATGGCTGACATAGATCTTTAAACAATACATTCAGTATTATAAATATACTAAACCCCATCTTCACCTGCCAAAGGTGTTGCATGTTGCTCAAGTGTGTGTTTGCTAAATACCTTGGTGAATAGCTCTTCAAAAGTGGAAATATTTTACATTGACATTATTATTAATAAGCCCATATTGGCTCCTAATAAATACCACTAGGCCATTTTACTGTTTCAACAATGTTGTCAAAAACCATTTCCCATTTATTGGCCTCCAAAAACTAATTCCACAAGATGTTAGTAAACGTTTTATGAGGAAGAGTAGTATCAGTGAAGTGAATTTGGGAAAGACTGAATATCACAGGCCTCTCTCTTTTGTCTGATGTGTCCATGAACATATTAAAGCCTCACAAGAATACCAAAAGCCTGTTTAACTTTGTTCAAACCAGTTTTCCATTAGTTTATGGAACATTTCTTTTTCTTGGAATTCCCTAGCAAAAGACTTTGTTTACTATTGTTTACTATTGAGCCCCTTAACCACACCCAGCATAATGTAAGTATGTAGAGTGGGTAGTCAAGAATTGCTTATTGAGTTTGTTGAGGAAATGTAATTAAAAACAAAATCTTCTCCGAATCCAGAAATTCTCTCCACAAGGGTAACAGAAAAACAACAACAACAACAACAACAAAACCACTTTTATTATTGAATAAGCATTAAACCAGAATAACATGCATCGCAATCCACTAAAACAGCAGTCCCCAACCTTTTTGGTACCAGGGACCATTTTCATGGAAGACAGTTTTTCCATGGATGGGATGGGGGGGCAGTCAGGGGGGATGGTTTCAGGATGATTCAAACACATTACATTTATCATACACTTTATTTCTATTATTGTTACATTATAATATATGATGAAATAATGATACAACTCACCATAGGTTGGGGATCCCTGAACTAAAGGATTGCAAAAATGGAAAGAAATCTCACCCTTTTATATATAGCTAAGCAGTTGCACCCCATTACAGACATGTTCTCCAGATAAACAATAACTGGTCCTCAAGTAAGAGGACTTGACAATGCTATTTGTCATACATAGTTTATCCTAGATTCATCTGGTAATTGGAGTGATCATCTGTGTTAATTGGCTTTCTACAAAGGAAAAATAAATTTGTTTATGACAGGGGGTAGTTTTGCAACTTGGAGAAGTGCCCACTGAAGTTTGGCTCCTATGTTCACACACACGCTGAGAGATAAGGATGCCATCTCTTTCTAAACCATTGCTCCCAGGTCCCTGAGAAAGACATTCCTGGATCTTAAAGCTGACCAAAGGAATACTTAGTTTTCAAAAGGACTTAGGTATATTTCAAAGAGAGGAGAAAGTTCTTATCAAATTTTCTAAAAGAAATGCTCTAAGAAAAGGGCAGGAGGCATTCTACTAAGTGAAGTATCTCAAAAATGGAAAAACCAGCACCACATGTACTCACCAGCAAATTGGTATTCACGGATCAACACCTAAGTGGACACATAGGAGTAACATTTATGGGGTGTCGGGAGGGTGGGAGGGGGGAGGAGGAGATGGGTATATACAACCACAACGAGTAAGATGTGCAACATTTGGGGGATGGACACTCTTGAAGCTCTTACTTGAGGGGGGAGGGGGACATGGGCAAAATATATAACCTTAACACTTGTACCCTCATAATATGCTAAAATAAAAAATAAAAAAAAGGAAAAAAAAAGGGCAGGAGGGAGGAAGAAGTTTCTCTTTTTATTGTCAACATGGAGAATTAAGCCTCTTATTTATAAGTTTTATTTGTCCTTGAAAATTAAACTTCCAAAGCTTGAAGGCAATCATTTAAAGACATTTTCCTCATTATAAGGAATTACCTTCTCTCATGGTGAAACCTGGAAAACTATGAGAAGATTCAGCTTGACCACCTTACGGAATTTTGGAATGGGCAAGGGGGTCATTGAAGACAGAATTATAGAGGAATGCCAGCATCTCATACAGAACTTTGAGTTTCACAAAGGTGGGTGCTTAGAATAAATAAAACCATATCTTATTTTGCATGAGAAAGAAGTCAACAAAAGGTCTATTTTTCATTGTTTTACATGATTTCAGACTTGTAGAAAAATTCCAAGGATATACAAATAATCCCCAATACCCTTCTCATCTCCAAGAGTCTCCATGTTAATGTTTTACATTTGTTTGTTTTTTTTTTCTCTCTCTCTATCTGCATGTATCTGTCTATATATATACATTATTTTTATGAACTGTTTGATGTACTTTGCAGACATGCTGTCCCTTTAAATACTTCAGTATTTCCCTATAATAAGCAAAAAATTTTCTCTTACATAGACACAATATGATCTTTAAAAATCAGGAAATTAGGCCAGGCATAGGGGCTAATTATACAGACCCTGTCTCCCCAAAAATGAATATACTGACCAGGCGCGGTAGCTCACATTTGTAATCCTAACACTCTGGGAGGCTGAGGCGGGAGGATTGCTCAAGGTCAGGAGTTCAGAACCAGCCTGAGCAAAAGCAAGACCCTGTCTCTACTAGAAATAGAAAGAAATTAATTGGCCAACTAAAAAAATATATAGAGAAAAAATTAGCTAGGCATGGTGGCACATGCCTGTAGTTCCAGCTACTCAGGAGGCTGAGGCAGGAGGATAGCTTGAGCCCAGGAGTTTGAGGTTGCTGTGAGCTAGGCTGATGCCACAGCTCTAGCCTGGGCAACAGAGTGAGACTCTGCCTAAAAAAAAAAATAATAATAATCAGGAAATTAATATTGACATATTATTATCTAATCTGTCAACCTTAGGCAGATTTTGCCATTGCCTAATAATATTGTTAATAGCAAAATAAAACCTGGATCATGCATTGAATTCAGTTGTCATGTTTCTTTTGCCTCCTTTAATCTACAATAGTTTCTTAGTAGTGTTTCTGATCCCTTTGCAATAATAAATGATAATTCCATATTATTGTCATCAATATGTGGGTTGAATAGTCCAAAAATCTCATTTTCATGTCAGGAGTCTTACTCATAACATTGGTAAACTGAGCTCAGTCCTTTTTTACAAAAAGGTAGCTTGAACATTATGCCACTGATGCGGGAATTAATATGAAAAGAAATGGCCAAAAGCAGACAACCCTGAGATTAATGTATACAAGAAACTCAGGGCTCAAGGGTCCATGTGCTAAAATTAGCAGTGCCTGTATATTTAGCAAGATAGGCTCTTGAAGGAGAAATTACATATGCAAAAATGACAATTCCTTTGAGTGTTAAACTCCTAATACATGTTAATTTCTCAAGGCTTTGTGTACATAGCATCCTCTAAGCTCTCCCATTTATATTGAACAAGAAGAAGTATTCTCCATTAGAATTCCCTAGGCTTTCAGCCTCCACATTTAAGGTAGGTGTTGATGTTAAGAGTGAATCTTAGGCCTCGTACAGTGGCTCATGCCTATAATCCTAGCACTCTGAGAAGCCGAGGCGTGAGGATCGCTCAAGGTCAGGAGTTCAAGGCCAGCCTGAGCAAGAGTGAGACCCCTGTCTCTACTAAAAATAGAAAGAAATGAGCTGGACAACTAAAAATATATAGAAAAAATTAGCCAGGCATGGTGGCACATGCCTGTAGTCCCAGCTACTCGGGAGGCTGAGGCAGAAGGATCACTTAAGCCCAGGAGTTTGAGGTTGCTGTGAGCTAGACTGACTCCATGGCACTCACTCTAGCCTGGGCAACAAAGGGAGACTCTGTCTCAAAAAAAAAAAAAAAAAAAGAGTGAATCTTAGCAACTAGAATGCTCTTCACTTAAAATTGAATGCCCAACTGGGTGCGGTGGCTCACGCCTGTAATCCTAGCACTCTGGGAGGCCGAGGCGGGCAGATTGCTTGACGTCAAACTGGATTGCTTCGAAACCAGCCTGAGCAAGAGTGAGACCCCGTCTCTACTATAAACAGAAAAAAATTAATTGGCCAACTCAATTAGAGGCATTCACTCTAGCCTGGGCAATAAAGCGAGACTCTGTCTCAAAAAAATAAAGTAAAATAAAATAAAATAATAAAATAAAAGAAAATTGAATGCCCATCCATTGATACATGCTTAGTAATCTAAGCAGTCTTCAATGATACTAAGAAAAGCAAGATGCGGTAGCAGAAGAGAATAAAACAAGGAAGTGCCCTGGATGAAGCTCTTTAAAGTGGAATCGTTTTAATCATTTAGATGCTCTGTTTTAAAGCAGCCTATTAGGTTGAAGTGATATTTTCTCAGATATTATACATTCTCCCTCTTCCCCTGCCCCACACACTGCAAACACACACAGACACATAGACACAGGCACTAAAATGCCCCTCACCTGGCACATTTTTATTTCTTTAGCTAAACCAAATGCAGATTTTCTTTGACATGTACTTTTAGTTTTCCTCGTGGTAATCTTCTGAACAAATTCTGGGTATTTTTCAAGGCCCGTTCAAGTCTCATCTCTCCTCGGAAGGTGTGGTCACCAATAATCCCCTTTCTTTCCCGAAATCCTTTATTTGATAGTCCGTTGCAACCAGTCTGGAACTGGTTTCATTCTGTGTATGCGAGTAATCCTAATCTGGCTAATGAATTATCTTGTAGGAAAACCCTTTGAGATCAAAACAATAATGAACGCTTCTGTTGCAAACATCATTGTGTCAGTGCTGCTTGGGAAAAGGTTTGACTACCACGATGCCCAGTTTCTGAGACTCTTAACCTTGACTGGTGAAAATGTGAAACTCATTGGAGGTCCTAGAATTGCGGTAACTGTATCTTTTCCACTCACTTTTAGTTCCTCTGAGATATACTTGATTGTTAAGAGACCATGAAAAAGTATTTATTAGAGAACTGCTATTTCAAAAATGTACACTTTCTAGAATATTCTGAGTACACAGATGTGACAAGCTTGCTTGGGTAACATATCTGATCATTCTTGTTATGAGTTATACAGTCCTTATCTTCTAGAATCTAAAAAAAAAGAGGCTTCTCAAATAGTTTTCATCTTGAATAGCACCACTGACAGCCATATTAGTTCACTTTGCAATCATTTAGGCTCTGTTACTGTAAGTACAGATTTATTCTAAATACAGGTAGTTGGGAACACTGTAATAGGTAATTGTGCTCTCTACTTTTAGGTGTGACCTTTTATCTCTGGTGTTTATTAAGTCATCTGAGGGGTCCTAAACCCCTTTAAGAATATGACTAATTATACAGGCCCTGTCTCCCCAGAAATGAATATACTAGCCAGGTGAGGTGGCTCACGCCTGTAATCGCAGCACTCTGGGAGGCCGAGGCGGGCGGATTGCTCAAGGTCAGAAGTTTGAAACCAGCCCGAGCAAGACCGAGACCCCGTCTCTACTAAAAATAGAAAGAAATTAATTGGCCAACTAAAAATATTTAGAAAAAATGAGCCAGGCATGGTGGTGCATGCCTGTAGTCCCAGCTACTTGGGAGGCTGAGGCAGAAGGATTGCTTGAGCCCAGGAGTTTGAGGTTGCTGTGAGCTAGGCTGATGCCATGGCACTCTAGCCTGGGCAACAGAGTGAGACTCTGTCTCAAAAAAAAAAAAAAAAATGAATATACTAACAAACACAAAATTTAGCAAATGGTAGCCTTCATGGACGTTTTAGGGATCAGTGAATATTAGATTAAGTGTTGCTGCTCTATAGGACCTATAGACTGTAAGTCTGTTGTAAATTTTTAAATTATTGTGAGCCTACAGAAAGCAGTTGTGGTAAATTTATTGTGCTATGTAGAATATTTGAATTGACGGCTGGGTATGGTGGCTCACACCTGTAATCCCACTGCTTTGGAAAGCAGGAGGATCACTTGAGGCTAGAAGTTCAAAACCAGCCTGAGCAACATAGTGAGACCCCATCTCTACAAAAAATGGGAAAAAATTAGCCGTCAGGCGTGGTGGCACGTGCCTGTAGGGCCAGTTTCTTGGGAGGCTGAGGCAGGAGGATCACTGGAGCCCAGGAGTTTGAGGCTACAGTGAGCTCTGATCACAGCACTGCACTGTAGCCTAGAAAAGAGAGTGACCCTGTCTCTGGGGGAAAAAATTTAAAAAGTTTGATTGTTTACCTGGAATCATCCAGGATTTTGTAAAAAAAAAAAAAACAAAAAAACTTGGGCTTATAGTCCTAACTATAAATCCAATATGATTTTCATGTCCCATTTAACCTCTAAGTAAATCTATTGTCACAAGCAAAACATACAAAATACTGTGGGTACATAGAACTTATTGCAAAACGTATCAATATTCATTGTCTGTTACTTAATTACAATAAATGAGGAAATCTCAACTATTGTCTGTCACTATTAGTTGAGGTAAAATTCAAGGTGTTATTTCTATAACGCTTTTAGATTTGCATTATCATAAGCAGTACATATGTACATTGACTTTACTTTTTTATTATTCTTTTAGCTTTACAATATGTTTCCTGTTTTGGGGTTTCTCCTAAAAAGTCCTAAGACAGTACTCAGGAATACAGACGAATTATTTTCTTTTATAAGAATGACCTTCCTAAATCACCGTCATACACTTGACAAAAATGATCCAAGAAGTTTCATTGATGCTTTTTTGGTCAGACAGCAGGAGGTAATGTTTTTTTCTTCAGAGGTTTCCTTAGCCTATTGTTTAGTATTTGGTTTAATTAATAGGATCTAGAGGAAAAACATTCCTTTCAAAGAAGAAAGACAACTGGACTCAAGTTAATGACAAATTTGTACAATCTGAATAATGTTATTTATTGCATTTGCATTCTCAAATATTTTCCATCGCATTTCATATCACTCTCTTAAAAAACCAAGACATATAGAAGATCTCACATGTGTTAATTTTGAGAATTAGTTTTTGTTTTGTTCTTTGATATCTTGAGACATGTGTTTCAATTGGTGAACCCGAGAAAGATTATTTAATTAATGTTTATTAGGCCGGTGCAGTGGCTCACGCCTGTAATCCTAGCACTCTGGGAGGCCAAGGCGGGAGGATTGCTCGAGGTCAGGAGTTCGAAACCAGCCTGAGCAAGAGTGAGACCCCCATCTCTACTAAAAATAGAAATTAATTGGCCAACTAATATATATATAGAAAAAAATTAGCTGGGCATGGTGGCACGTGCCTGTAGTCCCAGCTACTTGGGAGGCTGAGGCAGGAGGATCGCTTGAGCCCAGGAGTTTGAGGTTGCTGTGAGCTAGGCTGACGCCACGACACACACTCTAGTCTGGGCAACAAAGCAAGACTCTGTCTCAAAAAAAAAAAAAAAAGTTTATTAAAGACACAGTGCTGGGCATAGTTTAATCATTCAATTAAAACTAATTTCCAAAATGGCAAACAGCATTTCTCATTTTTAGAATTATTTATAGTCATTACACCAGGGATGTGCATTATCCTAAAATTCTCCACAACATCTGTATAATTAAAAAAATTGCAATCCATTGAAGGAAGAATGCAATGCTTTGTTTTTAAATCCGTGATAGGTTGTTATAATCATCCGTTATAAAATTACTTCATCACTAACGATTCATTTTTACCCTTTCAGGAGAAAGATACATCTACTGACTATTTCAGTGATGAAAATTTGGTAGCACTTGTTAGTAACCTGTTTGTGGCAGGTACAGAGACCACGGCCTCCACATTGCGCTGGGGAATCCTGCTCATGATGCGCTATCCTGAGGTCCAGAGTAAGTCTCCTAAGACTCAGAGTGTTGCCCCAAGGACAGAAACCAGGAATACCTTGGACTAGACAATGCAGAATTTCATAACCACACAGGGTACCTGTAATTTGTATCCTTTTTTTATTCTTTTTTTTTTTTTTTTTTTTTAGACAGAGTCTCCCTTTGTTGCCCAGGCTAGAGTGAGTGCCATGGAGTCAGCCTAGCTCACAGCAACCTCAAACTCCTGGGCTCAAGCAGTCCTCCTGTCTCAGCCTCCCAAGTAGCTGGGACTACAGGCATGTGCCACCATGTCCAGCTAATTTTTTCTATATATATATTAGTTGGCCAATTAATTTATTTCTATTTTATAGTAGAGACGGGGTCTTGCTCTTGCTCAGGCTGGTCTCGAACTCCTGACCTTGAGTGATCCTCCCGCCTCGGCCTCCCAGAGTGCTAGGATTACAGGCGTGAGCCACCATGCCCGGCCTGTAATTTGTATCCTTGAAGATAATTTCTATCACTGGTTTCTTTTTGATATAAGAAAGTAGATTTAAGGCCCGGCACGGTGGCTCATGCCTGTAATCCTAGCACTTTGGGAGGCAGAGGCGGGAGGATTGTCTGAGCTCAGGAATTCGAGACCAGCCTGAGCAAGAGCGAGACTTACTACTCTACTAAAAATAAAAAGAAATTAATCGGCCAACTAAAAATATATAGAAAAAGTTAACCAGACAGGGTGGCACATGCCTGTAGTCCCAGCTACTCTGGAGGCTGAGGCAGGAGGATTGCTTGAGCCCAGGAGTTTGAGGTTGCCGTGAGCTAGGCTGACACCACAGCACTCTAGCCCGGGCAACCGAGTGAGATTCTCCCTAAAAAAAAAAAAAGAAAAAAGAAAGTAGATTTTGCTCTTTAAGCATCCTGAGATGGTCTGAAGGCATCTTGCCATCCCAGAGGAGCCTCAGGAATAGAGGCAGAGGGGTGGAAGCACTGCGGGCCGGGTGGTGGGGGGATTGGGAGGATGAGTCACAGTTGGGAGAGCACTTGGGTTTGACTTCCTTGTGGAAAGGAAATGGGGAAGACTGTGCCAACACCACTCCCAGCCCCGACTCTAAACACTCTAATTCCATTTTAATCAGAAAAGGTCTATGATGAGATCACCAAAGTTGTGGGATTGGCCCAGCCTCGAATTGCACACCGCACTCAAATGCCATACACAGATGCTGTCATTCACGAAGTACAGAGATTTGCTAACATTCTGCCCACAGGGTTACCCCGGGCAACCACCACGGACATTATATTTAAAAATTACTATATTCCAAAGGTAAGTGCTTAAGAAGGGGAGGTGTGGGGAGAGAGAACTTCAGATGCTTATAGTCACAGAAGCACCTAGATAAACTGTCAGACACTCCTGGCCTGTCCTCCCTCCCGTCCTACTCCCCTCCTCCCTCTCCCTCCCTCCCTCTCCCTCCTTCCCTCCTTCCCTTCCTTCCTTCCTTCCTTCCTCCTTCCTTCTTCCTTCCTTCCTTCCTATCTCCTTCTGTCTCTCTCTGCCTCCCTCCTTCCCATTCGACAAAAGGCAACTGAGTGGCCACATATGTATGTGTATGCAATAGGTGATGATTATTCTCTGAAACTTTATAAGTCAGTATTAATTTTTATGTTACAGTCGAGAAAACTGGGGTTCAGAGAGTTTAAGCATTTGTCAGGAATGCAAGGTTGGTGTGTAGGAGCCATGATTCAGGTACGGTGTGCCCTTTTCAGAGCTCTGTGCTTTCCCCAGGTAGGCCTCACACAGAAACGTGCTCATGGCCTCCCTCTGCTTCCCATCATTAACAAATCTAGATGCACCCCTCTGATTTGTACTGGTAAACTGAGGAAATTGTATAATCTTTCCTAAAACTAAACTGAAGGCAGGGATGGCATGAAGTCTTGGTACACCCCATGGCACCAATTCATTTTCTGGAAACCTAGTCTGTTCATTCCTTCTGGACCATCACTTCCTATCCTGTGGGAGCAAGGATATGTCCATCTTTGGAGTTTCTCTTCTCAGCACACATTAGGTACACTGTTGGACTGAATTAATCAGATTAGAATGACATGGAAAAACAAACACAAACTATGTCAAAAAAAATTTTTTTAAAGGAGACTCTATAGGAAAAGTAATAGTGGCAGGATTTTAGTTCCAGCTATCTACCTTGCTAGTAGAGCGAGTGCTGTATTAGAAAGTTGGAGGGGGGGGTTAACTGACCTACCTGTACTGGTGCTGGGTCACCCAATCACACTGACCCCAAGTCATCTCTTTTGTGAAATGAAAATAACCTAACACAGTTGCTGTGAGGAGGAGAAAGTCTGTGTATAATGCCCAAGTATATATAAGCATTCATAGATAAAGAGATGAACAAATTTTTGTTTTTTTTTTTAATTTTAGAAAAAGGAGCAACATTTCCTATTTTATTATTATGTTTTTAAAAAAACAGGTTCTTGCTATGTTGCCCAGGCTGGTCTCAAACTCCTGGCCTCGAGCCATTCTTCTGTCTCAGCCTACAGAGTAGCTGGGAATACACGGAATACTCTACCACACCCAGCCTAAAGTTTTAAAATAGATTATTTTAAAGCCATTGTTTACTTTATGTGACTCAAAAATTATACAGATTCATGTGATAAAACAACTAACCCCATGAAGACAGTATTCCACAGCCTTCTTAAAGAGGAAGCTGTAGCTGGACACAGTTGCTCACGTCTATAGTCCCAGCTACTTGGGAAGCTGAGGCAGGAGGATCACTTGAGCCCAGGAGTTTTGAGGTTGCTGTGAGCTGTGATGATGCCATTGCACTCTAGCCCAGGCAACAGAGCGAGACCTTGTCTCAAAGGGAGGAGAAGAGAGGCAGCTGTGATTAATCAAGACGAAGTACTGAATATGAATATTGTCCTATATTTTAGGAAGGTTATTTCCTTTTTATCACTATTTTAATTATTTTAGTTCTCAGAAAATACCCTTTCCTATATCGCAATTAAAATTACTTCTTCTTTCTAGAAAATTGTTTGACGGTATGTGGCAAGCTATGGAAACAGGGAAGCTTATTTTTTGAGAATTTGTTTTGATGGGCTTTTTTGATTAAGCATCCACTACCACAGTCCCTGCAGATAAAAGAACAAATCCTCACTGAGCCCCCAAACCTGCCAGGAACTGTGCCAGGTTCTTTCACACGAGTCCTTTCTTCTAAGGCTCACACTCCCAAACGAAGGCTATTTTACTCTCATCATACGAATTTAGAAAGTGGAATTTAAGGAAAGTTAAATAACATGCTGTTATCACATAGCAACTACATGACTAGGTAAGAATTTGTTCCCAGTTCTGAGTCCAAGGCTCATGCTTCTCAGTAGGTACTGGGTAAAAATGTGGTTGGGTAAATATATAGTCCACAATGAATCACAAGCCCCCCCCTGTCACCTCTTTGCTGCCCCTTCTTCCATTTCCTTCTAGAACACACTGTGTCTGAAGAATTGCGAGCCAAAATCGCAGTCTGCCCTTAGAGTGCTTCCTTTTTAGGAAGGAATTTAATCTCTGTCATTAACAAAATTTTTATTTCTAGGGGACTGAGGTCATCATCTTGTTGACCTCGGTACTTCGGGACCAAACCCAGTGGGAAAAACCCGACATTTTTAATCCTGAGCATTTTCTCAACTCTAAGGGAAAGTTTATCAAGAAAGCAGCTTTCATGCCCTTTTCAGCAGGTAAGATATGTTACTTGAGAAAGGTGGTGTAAAGAAATCTAATGAGATTGGCCTTGTCTTAGGACTGTGCTGAGGTTTTGTACTTTCCCGTGAGCAAAAGTGAGTCTTGAGTGAGCAAGAGTGAGCAAGAGTGAGTCCCATGTGGCACCAAACTTCAGAACTGTGGAAGACTAGAAAGAACAGGGATTCCATACTCACTCTGCCTTTAAATAGGCTGTGGGACATTAAACCTTGGACAACATTTCCTAAGAGAATCCTTGAAAATGCCTCGTGGCTGAAGCTAGGGTAGAGCCAGAGGACTTTGAGGAGAAAGTTAAAAAGTTAAACAGGGAGACGAAGAGCAGCTTACTTCACCCCAACCAGAAAAGCTTTGCTTGTAATATGTGTGAATTCCAGTGTTTCTCTTAAGATTTTTTTTTTTTTTTTTTTTGAGACAGAGTCTCACTCTGTTGCCTGGCCTAGAGTGCTGTGGCATCAGCCTAGCTCACAGCAACCTCAAACTCCTGAGCTCAAGCGATCCTACTGCCTGAGCCTCCCGAGTAGCTGGGACTACAGGCATGCGCCACCATGCCCGGCTAATTTTTTCTATAAATTTTTAGTTGTCCAATTAATTTCTTTCTATTTTTAGTAGAGACAGGAGTCTCACTCTTGTTCAGGCTGGTTTCGAACTCCTGACCTCAAGCGATCCTCCTGCCTCGGCCTCTCAGAGTGCTAGGATTTACAGGCGTGAGCCACCACACCCAGCCTCTTAAGATTTCTTTAGGGAACAGGAAGAAAGAGCTTTACACTAATGTCGATTTTGAAATCAGGGAACTACATGAACTCACTCCATAAGTATATCTAAAGGGCCTGAAATGAGTTTTGTGTTCCTAGCAGATTTGGCAAACTGCACCAAAAGTAGTTTGTCATCTTGGCCTCTACTTATATTAATACAAACAATGGCTTACATTTACTCCAGATACCCATTCAGTGATGGGTAAACAGCAGCCACCCCAAGGATAGGCTTTCTCCACCCACTGATAACTAAGTAATACAGAGATACAACATACAATCCAGTCTCCTTCTAATTTTCACACACACACACACACACACACACACACACACACACACACACACACAAGCACAAACAGAGAGAGAGAGAGAGAGAGAGAGAGACAGAAGCGGGGGGGGGGGATGATAACCTGAGAAAATGTTACATGTATTAATAACTTTAAAAAAAATCACATATATAATAAGAATTAAAATAAATGAAAATAATGTACATATAATTTGCAATGTGTTTTTTTTGGGGGGGGAAGACATAGAAACATAAACATAAAATGGACTCTGGAAGGCACTCTAACTACCTCTAACTCCAAACCCTCTTTTTGTAAGAGACAAGATGGAGCAATGATTTTATCACACCTAAAATTATTTTCCAGACTCTTTTTTTTATCAACTCTTAGTTACTGCTATTAGTATTTAGGGAGAAGGAATTAAGTTCTCCTTGACACCCCATTTTCACTGTGAACAAGAATTACTTTTCCTTTTTCTCTTGAACTCTGATGGACATTGCTTCCAGGTTGGTTTCTCACACACCTAGGAGTAGGGGTTTCTTTGGACTGTACGATAAGTAGTAATAGTGTAGATTTTTGTACAATGGCCTATTCTCAAAGGATTTTGCCCAGCTTAGCTCAGGAATTCTAAACTTTCCTAGTTATACTGGGGCATTTTTTGTTTGTTTTAATCAAGGACATCTATAAGTAGTAATACTAGTTTTATCACAAATAGAAATATTCTTAAAATATTAATATAATCATCATCAAACTGTCACAATAAGGGAAAATATTAGAAAACAATTTTGTGCTTCAACTATGAGTGTTGAAGTCTCTCCAAATCCTCACATTCTTCTAGCTGTGTTTAAGGCTCCCACCAATTCTTTCCTTGTCATTTACTAATTACTGTATTAAGATAGAAATCTTGCTCTCTGGAAGGTTTATTTAGTGTAAATGTCTTTAATTGGTCTCCAGGATTGCTCCTAATTTTGCATATAGCATTTCTTTTAAAAATAAATGAAATCATCCTACTGTGTTATCATTTATTTATCCTTAAGAGTGAACAATAATGATACATGCTTTATCTTGTTGGATTGCTAGACTTTAAGCATCAAACTGAATAAGGCCTAAATATAGGGTAGATAACTCACACCCTAAGTTGCTTTAATTATCAGATGACACCACTTCATAATGCATTTATTCCCTAGCAGGTGGGAAAATCTAACCCCAAAACCCGGATTAGGTGTTCCTTCCCTGAGCAACCCCAACATCCTATTATAATCTTATGGCACTGTATTATAATTACATATTTCCTTGTAGGACTCCCCTACTACACAGTAAACCCCTTGAGAGCAACAATCTCAGAGCAAAGCTCAATACCTGTATCTTGTTGACATTAAACATACATTTGTGGATTGAATGCTTAGCTTTTATTTAATGAACATTTCCAGGCAAATAGAGATAATATCCATGGCCTTCCACCCCATAAAAATCCTGCCTTGTTACTAGGCATAGTTAGAAAAATGTTCCATTTGTGGAGTTAACACATTTATGGGAGGTCCTATATAAACCAAAGTACTAATTTGGGATACTTTTCCTATATTATAAAATATCTACATTTTCATGTTTTTCTTTTTTTTTTTTTTTTTTAGACAGAGTCTCGCTTTGTTGTCCAGGCTAGAGTGAGTGCCGTGGCGTCAGCCTAGCTCACAGCAACCTCAGACTCCTGGGCTCAAGCGATCCTTCTGTCTCAGCCTCCCAAGTAGCTAGGACTACAGGCATGCGCCACCATGCCCGGCTAATTTTTTTTATATATATTAGTTGGCCAATTAGTTTCTTTCTATTTATAGTAGAGACGGGGTCTCGCTCTTGCTCAGGCTGGTTTTGAACTCCTGACCTCGAGCAATCCGCCCGCCTCGGCCTCCCAGAGAGCTAGGATTACAGGCGTGAGCCACCGCGCCCGGCCCTTTCATGTTTTTCTGAGCTTGGAAGTCTTCTGTGACTCAGTACACTTTTCATACTTATCTTCCAAATTAAAGAAATAAAAAAATAAAGGCCAAGCACAGTAGCTCACTCCTATAATCCTAGCACTCTGGGAGGCCGAGGCAGGAGGATCGTTCAAGGTCAGGTGTTCAAAACCCAGCCTGAGCAAGAGCGAGACCCTGTCTCTACTAAAAATAGAAAGAAATTAATTGACCAAGTAAAAATATATAGAAAAAAATTAGCTGGGCATGGTGGCGCATGCCTGTAATCCGAGCAACTGAAGAGGCTGAGGCACGAGGATTGCTTGAGCCCAGGAGTTTGAGGTTGCTGTGAGCTAGGCTGACGCCATGGCACTCTGGCCTGGGCAACAGAGTGAGACGCTGTCTCAAAAAAATAAATAAATAAAATAAAATATTACCATTTAATTGTGTGTCTCTCTCATGGAGCACATGAGGTAAAAGCTGGCATTTTTAATTAATTTTGTATTTCCAGGACTTAAACTGGGAGACAGATCTCAAGAGGCTCAGAAGAGGTTAAGTGATTTACCCATACAATCCAAAGTAGAAGAAATCATATATGGATTATTTTTATATTTGTCCAGATTGTTTTTCAAAATTTTGTGCCCATGTCTTATAACCCTCCAACATGTCCCTCTCTTCAGGTCGCCGGATGTGTGCTGGTGAGTCACTGGCCAAGATGGAGCTTTTCCTTTTCTTCACCAGCCTCCTGCAAAAGTTCACCTTCCGGCCACCCCCTGGAGTCTGCCATCTGGACCTGGACCTGACCCCAGACATTGGCTTTACCACTCGACCAATGCCCCACCAGATATGCGCTGTGCTCCGGGCCTAGACTCTGTGTGTGCACTGTAGCTCCAGTTCTCCATATTACCTGTGGTCCTTAGCCCAGGTTTCCCCTTCCTGCATTTTACCAGGCACAATACTCTTCCAAGAACTTCGGGATTATTTAAGTAATTAATCACACATTCACAGAGTTCTCATGTCCCATCGGACTGAGTCTCCTGTGTTCACTGCTGTAGTAGAAACCTCCCTACTGCCATCCTACAAGGCAAAAACACATAATCATTTGACAAGTAGAACCTTCACTTAGTGCTCTAAGGTTTTGTCCTTCAAACACGAAACTGTTGTGATTCTCCAAGGCGTATAAGACATCTAAGTATCACCAGTGAATAGTTCTAATTGGTGTGGTGTTTTGGGGGAGGATGTACTATATAACACTCTGTCCTGGGATCAGGTATATTATCAAAATTACAATGAGAAAAAAAAAAAACTGGCATGAAGAAAATTTGACTCTTAAGTGAAGCTCACACTAAACATAAGACATTAGTTTCATTCTGTGAAAAACCAAAAAAATAGTGGTTAATATCAGACAACTGGTTGGGAGTGAAGCCAGTTGGCTGAGATCAGAAAGTGTTCACTCCTGCTCCGAGCCTGACTGGAACTTGAAGACCCCACATCTCTGTGTTCAGCGCTCTGGAGTCCCAGCGAAGGCACGTGCAGGGGACTCTAGCAGTACAAAAATCATTATCAGTTCCCCTGAGACAGAAAGCATCTTTAGCTTTTATGAAGTCAAATGTGCATCCCCATCATCAATATAAATGCGTCTCCCTGGCTCTTACCTAATTTCTGTCAAAGAAAAACTTGTGCAGGATAAACAGTCAAGGAAGATTGCATTTAAGGCCATTGTAATATGCGAGACAGGCCAGAACTCAGTGTAACTCAAATCTGCTGAAAGGTTTTTTTTTTTTTTTTGAGACACAGTCTCACTCTGTTGCCCCGGCTAGCATACTGTGGTATCAGCCTAGCTCATAACAACCTCAAAACCTCAAACTCCTGGGCTCAAGCGATCCTGCTATCTCAGCCTCCCCAGTAGCTGGGACTACAGGCATGCGCCACCATGCCCGGCTAAGTTTTTCTATATATTTTTCAGTTGGTCAATTAATTTCTTTCTATTTTTAGTAGAGACGGGGTCTCGCTCTTGCTCAGGCTGGTTTTGAACTCCTGACCTTGAGTGATCCGCCCGCCTTGGCCTCCTAGAGAGCTAGGATTTGCTGAAAGGTTTTGAAGTGGTGGAATGAGCTACAGAAAAGTACAGAAGGTTGGGGGGGGGGGGGGGGAGTCAGATCAGGAGGGTGATGTGTCCAGCATATTGAGTTGCCCCTGAATTTACAAATATTTTTCTCTGTGATTAGCCCACCTGTGCTTGCTAATTGGTGCCCACGGAAGTTGGGCTCCTACCCAACTACAGAGATTGGGAGTTAGGGAGTGTCTTCCTTGATGAATACATTTCAAAAGGATGGCTCTCAAGGCCCTGAGAAAGACATTTCTAGATGGTAAAACTGCAAAAAAACCTTTTTCAAATATTTATATCTCAAAGGGACAGAGGAAGAATTTACAAACTAAAGTTTTCTCAAGTAAATGCTCTGAAAGCTAGATCAGAGCATAAAGTCAGTAGGAAACTTGTCTAAAGTTTAGTCAAGCTGAAAGGAATGTTAGGCTGTTATCTTTCTTGGTCTCCCCAACCAGCATTTTCTACAAAGCCTTTTTAGAGTAAGGCAACCAGGGAATACTCAGGTTCCCTGACTTCCTAGTTGTACTAAAGGAAAGTGTGAATGATAAAGAAATGGGACCCACTAATCTTAATTTATTGTTTGAACATATTTATGGGGTAGTTGTTGTGTTTTCTGAGTTACACTTAGTTCATAATTGATATTCAAAAATATAGGAGTTAATTCTGAATCCAAAGTCAAAATTAATTCGTCATTTTCTTTCTCTTGTAAGGTAATAGAAACAGCTTTGATTAAAGATCAGGAAATCTCAGTTTTAGTTCTAACCCTGTCAGCCTTCCATTTGTATGACTTTATGACTAGCTATTGGCAATGGCATACTTAGTGTATCTGCCATCAGAAGCAGGTAATTTTTTACATTAATATGAAAAAATGATGTTTAGTATTAAACATAAAATAAAACAAAATTTGATCCTTTGGTTACAGTCTGATATAACAATATTTTATATAAATGATGAGTAAACTTAACTAAAACTGAAATGTCTGCCAAAGAAACAATTAAGACAACAACTTAATTGTACCAGTCATGTAATGTTTTATTTTCTTGATTCATTCTTTAGTTTTAAAAAATTAACAATAAAAAGGAATACATTTCGTGTTAAAGGTATTATTCAAATCCAGTAAAATAGTTCACCTGTGAGCTACATTTGCACTTAACAAAAAATACTACATTTTCCTTTTTCCTATTCTAAATTGTACACATAAGTGACATATGATGTCAGTATTGAAGTAACTCAAATTCTTTTCCTTAGTCACTATAATTGCTGTGTTATTGTTTACATTGAATCCACTCTTGAAATGCAGAAAATATAGGGGTTGGAGACACAAAGTGCACTTGAAGTGAGCTTGAAAGATTCTGAACACTTAAGAATTTACTCTCAAAATGAATGCATGTAGCTGAGTCTGTGTGTGTGACAGAGAAACAAAAGAGAAAGAGAGACAAAGAAAAATAGTGACAACAGAGACAGAGACACAGAGAGAGAGATTGGGAGACAACACTGAGAGTCTTTTAACTGATCTTCCCCACAGAAAAAAAAATACAATAAAGGAAAACAGAAATGTGCTAATTTGAAGCGTACATCCGTTTTATTAAAATTCAAGTAGTAACCACACGGATTTTTTTTAGAATTTAGATTAACAATACATGTTCCTCAGAGAAGAGTATTTTATGACTATTTTATCATATGGCAATAAAAAAATCAGATAGGCTTTTAGTCTGGATTTTTCCCTGTTTTACAATCTGTAAAGACAATGTACTGTTTATTGTTCACTCCTGGGCAAACCCTGCCCATTGCCCAGTCCTTGGCATGCCACTGAATATAGGTCACAGAATCCCCTTTCTTCCCAACAGAGGAGAAATGTGACCAATTTTGATTGTAAGATTAATTCATTTGGAGCTTTGTACATTTTTCCACCCAGCTAGGATGGAAAGACTGTATAGCCTATACCTCATAACCTCAGGGACCTGGGTCAACACTGAGGCTGGCTTGGGAAGTCCACAGGTTGCTCAGGGCTTCCCTGTGAAGCATGGACATCAGTGAGATCATCCTTACAGATATTAACTGCATTCAGAAGACCTCCCTGAAAGCTGTCTTGGTTTGGTAAAAATGATCTGGTACCCCTTCTACCTCCTTAATCATCTCCCAAGTAAGTTGACTTTGGGATATTCAATTGTACCCACTTCTCCATGGAGTTCATGGGCTTGCAAAGTAAGCTCAAAGTCACAAGATTTTTTGGAAGTAGAACATGTGCCTAAGGATGATCCAGTGGGCACATGAAGCAGCTTTAACACTCAGGGGTTTGAGCTGGGGGGCAATTTATACAGTCTTATGTATCCTATAACCTCAGTGACCACTAGGTAATATCCCATGCCTAGGTGGACTCTACCCAGGCTTTATTTCACTTTCAGTAAGGTGGCACTATTCCATCACATAGCATTTTGGGTGCCAACATTCAGGAGTAAATTATGCTAATGTATATTTCACTCCCATAAAGAAACTCCTTGATATGCTGCATTCTGGATGTTTCTAAGAAATAAGCATAATGTGATTATCTCCAAAAAAAGAATTCAGTGACTGGTTCTTCCAGTTTCTAACTCTGTCTGCAAGACTGTTCCAACATTAAAGAAAGACTGAATATATAAAAGGACAATGGCCACATCATATTGATGCAGGAAAGTAATTCCCAATGCTGGGATCACCTGAAGTCCAAGTGAATCCTTGCCTTCATGCAAGAAAGAATTTAGGAGCAAGCCAACAATGTAAAGTGAAAGTGAATTTCACTTAGGAAGTATAGATAATCTACTCCACAGACAAGAGTAGAGGCTAATTTTCCCTGCAGGAGAGAACAGCCCTTGTGGTTCCTGTAGTCCCTTTATTTAAGCAATGGTTTAACTATAGGCTAAACAAGGAGAGGAATATTCGTGTTATTTCTTGGAAACGGGACTGTCTTCCTAGAATTAGGGTGACGAAGCCCTCTTTTTGACTAACTATGGCCAATCCGGAGCTGTCGTGTTGTCAGGTGCGTGACAGGAGCAGGAGGTTTCCTTAGAAAGATTTTATGGTAATGAGGGTATAATGAAGCTGCAAGGTCATGAAGGGGTCCATTCCTCCACCATCTTGGTTCTAACCAGTTAGAACTTGTCCTGTCCCCCATCCTGTTTTGATCAGGGTGGTCTGAGATTTCCTAACTCAGTTAAGTAATGCCTACCAGTTTCCTATCTCGATATACGATAATATATGAAAAAAGACTGAAGAGCCTTAGTAAAAACCACTGCTTTGGGGCTGATATTACCTCTTGTGTTGTATGCCTTCTGCTCTTTGCCATTAAATAAACACCAAAGCTCAGTTCAGATGAAAAGAGAACTAAACAATAACACCACCACCACAACTACTGGTACTAGTTATAATATCTAATTCTGATTATTTATTATATTCCAGACACTAGTCTAAGTATTTCGCATTTAACTTTGTCAACAACGAAAAAAACCAAACTCTGCAAAATAATTTTAAAGAGATTTATTCTGAGCCTAAATTTGAGGACCATGACCGGGAGCCACTGCCAAGAGGCCTTGGGCAAGTGGACTCCCCTTGGCTGGGTTACAGTTTGGTTTTATACATTTTCAGAGAGACAGGGGTTACAGGCAAAGTCACAAATCAATTCATGAGAGGCATACATTGGTTTGGCCCAAAAAGGTGGGACATCTCGAAGTAGGGGGTGGGGGGGGGGCTTACAGGTTATAGGTGGGTTTAAAGATTCTTTGGCTGGCAATTGGCTGAGAGAGTTAGACTTCATCTAGAAGACCAGAAAGGATATGCTTATTTTAAGATAAGGGTGTGAGCACTCTGGGAGGTCCAGACAGGAGGACGTTTTAAATTTACAATAGGCGCCTGCTAGGATGCTTTAAGATGCTTTAAATTTACGAATAGGCATCCACTAGGATGCTTGAGTTAAGATATTTTAAATTTATGATAGGCATCTGCTAGGATGCTTGTGTTAAGACAAGGGCTTCTTATCTTTTAGGTGATATTAATGTCATACCAAAATCACGTTGGGAAGTAAACCACCACTTTATTTGGTTAACAAAAGCCGCTTAGTGGGAATTTACCGTTTGTCAGCCTGACCCAGCTGGCCTCCTTAGGAAGGAGTTTTTACAAAAGAAAAAGATCAGAGTTCAGTCCACATCCTAGAAAAAACACTATGTGGTTGATACCATTTGTTACAGAACTGCCAACCTAGCACAGAAAGCCAAACCACAAGCCTGTGCAGCAGTCAGCCCAAAAGGTAAGAACTTGGTAAACAACTGCCGGCTTCTCCATTTCATTGCCCCCTTCCAAATCAGGACTCATCTGAGAAAGTTCTAAACCAATCATATATTATAACAAGCTGCCCTTCTAGACAGCCTGCTTCCAGCTTCCTCGTGCCAACAGGCGCCAGTCAAAGCATACCTAAAGCCTTTCTCTTTTCACTAAATTGTCAAAGAAACATTGCCTGGGACAGAGGTAAACAAGCAAGGGAACCTCTTCCAGGCTATTGCATTAGGTGAGAAAGACTGAACTCAACTCCTCTGAAAAAAGAGGAGGGAGAGTTTTAAGTACTGGGGTGAGCTAGTGGAAAAGTACTGGGGGGTGTTAGGGAGGACATGTTGGTTGATGTGCTTATGCCACCTATTTTGCTAATTGACACTTAGAGAATTTGGGCTTCTGCCCTCCTGAAGACTCGGAGTTAGGGGCCCTGTCCTTCTAGAAGTTTACATTTCAAAAGGATGTCTCCCAGGTCCTTAAGAGACATTCCTACCCGGTAAGACAGCAAGAGGCAGGGGGAAAATTTACACCTCAAAGGGGCAGAGAAAGAATTTACAATTGCAAATTTTCCAAAGTAAATGCTCTCAGAAAAGGAAGGTCAGGGACCTATGGTCTGGAAGAAGCCTATGTAAACTTTAGTCAAACTGGTGCAATGTTAAGATTATCTTGGTCACTATAAAGCTTTCCCACTGCCCTGCCTGCCTCAGTACCCCTGCCAAGCACAAGCGATGTTGGTTGACTCCCTTACTATATCAAGCTCTGAATACACAGCCTCTGTTTTTTTCCATTTTTATGAAGACTGCAGTCTCTTCAATGTACTCTTATTCTGTTTTAAGCACAGAAATCTGAGTTTGACTTCAGTTAATTCCTTACCCTTAAGATAAATAACTGTCTTAACCTTTTCTTGGTGAATATAGTGCCTAAGAACTAATCACAACCCCTTAACTCTCTCCAAAGTAATCTGAACTCTCTTATCTTCATCTAGAGAAGTAAATTCACAAGTATTTGCCCTCACTAATTAAAGAGCAAAGTACTGGCTGCAACTATAGAGATGTCAGGGTGTTCAAGAGTCACAGCCTTTTGTTTTCTTATCTGAATCAGGTGATTCAAATTCTGGCCTCACCTTTTCCCTACCCCCTCATAATTCATCACAAGTGGCTGACAAGTCTTGACTCAGCCTGCTGAGGTTTGCCCTTGTGCAATGTATTAATGACTTCCTGCTTATTCTCCCTTATGGGTGTTTTCTGAGAATGTGTTATTTTACATTCTTAGATAATGAAAGAACCACATTTCTGAAATAGTTTTAAATACAATAATGAATCAATGGTTCATGAGAAAAAAAACTTTAATAAGGCTTTTAAAAAAGACCTTACAAAACTTCTTAGAGATGTCTTTGCCAATTTACAAAACCATATATCTCACCCTCCTGAAATCGCTAAATGTTTTCATAGTTCTACAAATCATCATCTTCATGGCACTGTTAACAATTAATGGGGAATACAAAAAAATATAATAACTTTTTAGTTTTAGCAAGTGATAAAGTAAGATGCAGAACTAAAAACAGGGTATGTGTCAATGTTTTCCCAACTTTAATTTGAATTACCCAGGCATCTTGTCAAAATGCAAATTCTGGGATAAGGCCTGAGATTCTTCATTTCTAAAAACTTTCTTGAAGAAACTCATGCTCCTGGGTTTACAAACCACACACTGAGCATAGGTTAATTAATATAGAGACAATACTAAGAAAACATACAGAGGTTACACTAAGACTATAATATAGTTTATGATTAGAAAAGTATATGTATATATTTTTATATGGAGACACAAAAACAGAATAAAATAAAATCAGATTTGAAACATAACCAAAGATTAAAAGAGATTTGGAATAGTGGGCAAGTTTTTGTTTCTTTTATTCTACTTTTCTTTTTCCCCACAAAAATCCCCAATTTTTCTGCAGTGAGTATAACTTATCCTTTTAACAAAAGCTTTTTCTTCTTCTTTTTTTTTTTAAAGCAAAGAGCCATATCAAGCTTTATCACCAAGTACTGGTAATGTCCAAGAAGAATAAAAGCAGCAAGTCAAATGTAATGAATCTCAAATGTGATTAGGGTTGTGGACAAAGGGTTTTAAGGGGGGGAACATTTGCCTGCTCCATGGTGGTCATGTGACACTGACATTTGTCTTAGGGTCACTGGGTCACTTGGGTGGCCAGGTGGCTTCTGGAAGGCTTTGATGTGATTCATTCACCTAACACAATTTTTATTTTTTTCAGTGAGGTAGAGAAGATCAAAGAGCTAAGACTCAGTCACTCTCAGAGATTTTCAGAGTTTCACTTTGGATGCACTCCCAAGACACTTGAGAAAGAGAAAAGATTCCTCAGGCTCCTCACAGGACAGGGTTCTGCTTGGCTCAGGAAAACCTGTGAAGCAAATTCAACAGCACTTCAACACACTACGGTTTGTTCCCAGTGAGAAGGAAATCTATAAACATGTTGTAGGCAGTTAACAGTGTAGGTGGTTTACACAGAGACTGAATAAGCACTTTAAAAATAAATGTTCTGCACTGACAGGGATATAATTTTTTCTTAAAAAAACATAAATTTTTACTTCAAGGGGATAAAATTAAACATATTTGGATTAAAGGGGTAAGCTAACTCGAATAAATACTTTTTTGGCAGAAAAGAGATCAAATGAAAACTAACTGTGCCTATTTTGCTTTTCTAGATGATAGGGCAGCAGATATAAAATCCCAGAGGGAAAATGAACTAACCAGACAAGTCCTAAAGAAATTATTCAAAGCTCCCATCTGCCAAGAACTAGGCAGTCTATGAAATCCTTTTAAAGACTTGGTCAAGCACAGCACACCTTAATCCTAATATGAGTCTTTATGCAAGACAGGGAAGTCATTTCTAAGGAATTTAAGGAATGTACTTATTGATCCATCAAACAGTGAGAAAAGCTATAAATAAATCCTTTCTTTTAGGAGTAGAAAAGAGTGTTAGTAAAACCACTTATTTGGCTTTCACTAGATATCTTACCTTGTATACTTTTTGCTCTCTGTTACTAAATAAAAGACTAAAGCCTGGTTAGGAGAAAAAGTGAACTAAATAATAACAACTATGCCAATAATAGTGACAGCTAACTTTGAGCAGTTATCGTATGTCAGGCAGCATTCTTTTTTTTTTTTTTTTTTTTTAAGACAGAGTCTCACTTTGTTGCCCAGGCTAGAGTGAGTGCCCTGGCGTCAGCCTGGCTCACAGCAACCTCAAACTCCTGAGCTCAAGCAATCCTACTGCCTCAGCCTCCCAAGTAGCTGGGACTACAGGCATGCATCACCACCATGCCCAGCTAATTTTTTCTATATATATTAGTTAGCCAATTAATTTCTTTCTATTTATAGTAGAGAGGGGTCTCGCTCTTGCTCAGGTTGGTTTTGAACTCTTGACCTTGAGCAATCCACCCGCCTTGGCCTCCCAGAGTGCTAGGATTACAGGTGTGAGCCATCGCACCCAGCTTGTCAGGCAGTATTCTAAGTATTTCCATTTAACTTAATCCTAAAAAATAACTCTTATGAGGTTGATATTATTCATTATCCACACTTAACAAATCAAAACACAGAGGCACATAGAGATTAGGCACCTTGCCCAAGGTCACACAAGTTAGTAAGAGGGGAAGTCAGTTCTGAACTCCCAGTTGAACTGAGAGCTTGTCTCCATAGAGAAGGTCACTGACTGATGCTACCATTTTTGGTGATTGTAAAAGAGGCTTTTTTTTTGGTTCTTTACACATACTGATTAATCACCAGGAGGCTCTGATGACCAAGTACATGAATAAGCTCAGGTCTGAAATTCATCTGCCAAGAAGGTTAACTTCATATTGGAAATAGGCAGGGTTGTTAGTGGGAAAGAGAATTCATTCTTAGGGGTCAAAGATAACCTATCTATCAAGCAGTTTTGAACACAGATGGACTCAGGTGCTGAATTCCTCTCTTAAGTGAGGGTTTCACAGGCCTGAGAACTGGTAGGTGGTCATTCTCCTGCCAACAGGCCTTGTAGGATTCAAGGGCATCAAGGCAATTTTAGTACTTCTCATAACCATGAGTTAGAAAACCTAGGGCATCCTCATCATCCTGTGACCTCCCCCAGAAATCAATTCCTCTAAAGGCCATCACCAAACCTTGGGAGGCAGATGATCACATTCTTTGCTCACTTAATAAGCATATGTAACTACTAGCTGTGTGACTTCCACAAGCTACATAACCTCCAGGCCTCAGTTGGCTCATCTGTAAAACAAGGACATACCTTACCTATCTGGCCGGGCAGGAGGTGGATCAGATGATCTTTTGAGGATATTTCAAGCTCTAAAATAAAAATAAGAGCAAAGGGGAAGGACAAGGATAGGAGGCACTCTTCAACCCTTTTACTCATCGAAAGCCAGAGTCCCACTTGTTTTGTTAGTTCTTGCAGTAACCAAATACTCCTTCAGTAGTGGTAAGATCAAGCAGTTCACCTCTGGAGGGACGCATTGCTTCTCAGAGAGCTCCAACTAGGCCAGCTACTAAAGAGTTAATACAGATTGTGTTTAATAAAAAAAATGAATAAATAAAATAAGAAAAATAAGTTGTTTCAGTAACACCAGGAGAGAGATATTATCAATCCATACAAATCTCATTAATAAAGACCTATGGACAGGAGTAAGACATGCAATCATTTTACGGCAAACTATACTTTTCTATCTACTTTTAGATCAGAAGATTTATAAGCAGTATTTTTGACATTAAAATCAAAAATTCCACATTAAGGGCATTTTTAGTGGACTACATTCGATATCCCTTGGGGTGAAGCTCTTTTAAATGGAATTTCACCTTCAACTCTGTGTTCTGTCCCCAACTCCTTCTTCCCTTTAGCTCCTCTCTTCTTCCTAACACTGAAATGTGGGGAGAAAATAGAAAACTCTGCACATCAGAAAAGAGTGACAAGAAAAATTTTGGAGAAAGGCGGCCAGGGGAGATCAATTGGAAAGCTATCGGAAAATGCCAATCGACAACACGTTTTCTCACTTGAAAACTCCCACATTCTGCCCATTTGAACATATCCTTTCTCGCCCTCTTCCGAATGACTTAGGTCCCCCAGACCGTCACGGTATTTAAGCCCCAAAGGAGGTAGTCTTACTCTGCTTACAGTTCTTCAAGCTGTCCTGGGTGTCATCTGCCTCCCTGAAGCGCAGCTGCGCCAGCCTCTTCTTAAAAGGTTCCTTCTGTCAGCTAATTGCAGGTTGGAGTTCCCACAGTAGTAGCATTTTCTTTAAAGGATTATCACTCATCCACTAGTCCTGAACATTCCTCGGGCTCCTCTCCTTGAAGAGTTTAAGCTCCTGCGGGCATCCTGTCGCTGGAGACAGAGAGACTCCTCTTGAGGGCGCCTCTCTGGGAGCCTGGAGAGCCCCGGGTTCAAGTCCCGGAGCCACCACACCACCAGACAGGCCGTCTCACTCCGTACTGGCGCGGAAAGTGACCGCGGTCACGGAACGCTCCTCGGTCCTCCTGGTCATGCGGCCCTTCGTCCACGCGGTCTGCAGCACTTCCTGCGTCACCTGATAGTCCACGACCCGCACGAGCACGGACTTCGCGGGGGCCGCGGGGACCCGCGGCGGGGCCCCGGGGGGAGCGGCCACGCGCCCGCCGTAAAGTCGCTTTTCTCCTTGCAAAGCAGGAGAAGGGCAGTCGGGTTCCTGGTCGCGGTGGTTTCCGCCCGCCCGAGGAAGGCCCTCCCCGCCGGCCACCTCGTCCCGTGCGCCTCGGTCCCCTGGAGTCCCCAACCACCTCTCCGGGTGCAGGAGAAAGAGCACCTTCTCTCGGACCCAGGAGTCACGGTCCAAATCCTCTCTGGCTCGCGGTCCGGGGGTCCGACCCGCTGCCCGGTCCTCGTGGCCGCCGCCGCCGTCGCCGCCCCGGCTTCCGCTCGCCCCCGCCGTCGCGGCGCCCCGGCCGCCCGGAGCCAGGGGAGCCCCGCGCCCCACTTCGCGCGGAAAGGGTCCGGTGCGCCCCAGGCTGCGGGGGCAGTCGGTGGGGTCCGCAGCTCCCTGGGGCCCAGGAGTCCCCATCCTGGCCGAAGGGTCATTCATTCGCTCGTTCTTGGACGGGTTCAAGCAGCGAGTTCCTGCTGAGCTCTGGAAAGCGCCGGGCTGGCGGGGCCTGGGTGTGGCCTCCGCGGCCGGCAGGGGACTCCCCGCCCCGGAGAGCAGGAGACGCCACCAGCCCCGGGCTACTCGGTGCTTACGCTCCCCTCCTCTCCCGCCACTCCTCCCCGCCTCGTCCACCTCGAGGTTTTCTGTCTTTCAAAGACAAGAGTGCCAGCCGCTCCTCTTCTCCTTCCTCCCCTGTCCTAGCCCTGTCCCCTTTTGTCGCCTGTCCGGTCACTGCTCGGCTCTATCCTTGTTTCCCAGCCGCCCTTCGCAAAAGACGCCTTCCCTCTGCGCCCCCCTGAAGTGCCCCCAGAATGTTACCTTTCCCCAGACGCTCCTTGACGTGAAAGAACAAGGAAGCTCGATTGTTTTTTTAATTGTATGATCTAATCAAATTCTTCTGAAAAGGCTTTTGGGTCCATTCCCGAATCCAGGCCCCACCACACCCGCCCAAGGCTGTGGAATGTAGATCAGAGAGTCAGATTGGAGAAGTTGAGGCCTTGGAGAAAATAGATTTTTGGAATGCCAGCATCTGTAGGACAGTGCCCACATCTGTTTTCACTCTGGTTGTAAAAATCAATGCTTATCTCAGGAAGGGACTTAGTGGCCTTTGGTTTCAAACAAGCTGTAAAGCAAGAAGTAAAACAAACTGCTAAATGAATATTTTCAGGATTTAAAACTTGGGGTGTGTGTGTGTGTGTGTGTGTGTGTGTGTGTGTGTGTGTGTGTGTGTGTGTTTTAAATCTCTCTACCCACCCGTTCTCCTCAGCACCAGAGATTAAAATAAATCTGTATCTCTAGCTAGGTTTTCAAAATCTACTCATCTCCACCAGGCCCTCTGAAACACTAGTCTTGGCCTAAGGTTTATGGGAAAGGCTAGGTAATGGAAAAAGAGGAGCTTAGCTTGTGATTTATACTTCACCTTTGTTAACAGGTGCTTGTTTCATAATATGCCCAATGTTTTTCTGTCTCATTGAGAAAACTGACTGAAATGGTGGAAATTTCTGCCCATATATGAAGGACCCAGTAGTAAGATGAAAGAGATATTTTGGAAAGGGAGGACCTTCTGACGTTTGCCAAATCATATAAAAAAGAAAGTGTTGGCCGGGCACGGTGGCTCACGCCTGTAATCCTAGCACTCTGGGAGGCCAAGGCAGGCAGGCAGATTGCTCTAGGTCAGGAGTTCGAAACCAGCCTGAGCAAGAGCGAGACCTCCGTCTCTAGTATAAATACAAAGAAATTAATTGGCCAACTAATATATATATAGAAAATATTAGCCGGGCATGGTGGCGCATGCCTGTGGTCCCAGCTACTCAGGAGGCTGAGGCAGAAGGATCGCTTGAGCCCAGGAGTTTGAGGTTGCTGTGACACCATGGCACTCACTCTAGCCTGGGCAACAAAGTGAGACTCTGTCTCAAAAAAAAAAAAAAGAAAGTGTTGTAGGAGGTGTGAGAAAATCTGGGTTGGCTCTTGCTGATTAGATGCTGACCTTGGGCTGGTTACTGCTAACTCACAGCTAAAGTTTTTAAGTGTTTTAGACAAGAATTGGTCTAAGCACTTTATATATTTAAGCTAATTTATTCTTCATAACAAAAGGAAGTAGTGCTATTTCTTTGGTTTCCTTGAGAGCTTTGAAGCACAGAAAGCTTAAGTATGTGCCCAAGGTCAAAGACTGATAAAGAGTGGAACCAAGATTTTAAGATATTTAATTTTGTTACAAAATGACCCCTAAATAACCTTTGTATTTTAAGCCTATAACTTCGTATTCTTTTCTATTAATTGAATTAACCAGTAATTACTGAGTACATGCTAAATGTCAGCAACTTTTCTAGGTGATGGAGACATCTGGAGGAACAAGTCAAATTGTTTATCCTCTTAAAGTTTATATTCCTGCATATATACAGTAACATACATCAATCCTCTGTTCAGATGTAGGAGATTAAAAAATTAACTTTAATGCACATGAGTACCCCAGCAGATCAATGCCCTATCCTACCCTCAAAGATTCTGTTTTTACAGGTTTGGGGTAGAGTTTAGAGGAATATAGAATTTTATCAAGGCTCCCAGTAATTCTAATGCTAGTGATCTATGGACATTATGATCATCAGTTCAAGTTGACATCTATATAGATAAACTATAGTACATTTTTGCTGCTTTAAAGCCGTAATGAGGATATTATTGTTTCTTTCCTTGCAGGAATATTAGAAGAATTCCAGCAAAGGTGTCTGTATTGAGTGTATGAAGTGTAAATCTGGTTTTGTTTTGTTGTTCTGGATTCTTTTGGATTTTTGTTTCGTTTTGTTTTGAAGATCAGATAGTGATCACTCTGAAAGATTGAAGCCAAGAATTTGTAACTATGATATTTACTGTAAGCTGTAGAACATTCAATAACTATTAAAAAAAAAAGTTTCCAAAAAAAGTCATATAACGTAATTCGTACAATTTATTGCTTTCAAATAGTTTTCTTGCCATTTGGGGATTGTATGAGGAATTAAAGAGAGGGGTGGGTAAAGGGGAAAATTTTTTTGCTGAGGAATGAGGCAGACTTGTTCGTCATGTAGTACCTGCATTTCTAGATGTCAAGAAGTTGTGTATTAATGCTTAAAAGAATATTAAAGGGATGTGCTACATAAATCAATCTTCAAAAGTCTAAAAAGAATATGAACCAGAAAAATAGGTAGCTTGTCTCTAGGATAATGGTGTCTTTTGTGCTTTAATATCTCAAATGCCTAAAAGATTGAAAAAGGGTGCTAAATTGAATTCATTTATTTCTTCTCTGAATTGCCCATAACAGCTGCAAATATGTAGGCCAGTGAGGAATAATAAAGCAATTTATATTCCTGGGGTCTAATAAGTGATGGAGGATCACCAGTCTACACTACACCCTTATAGACGTCAAAAGAAGCTTGCCTTGACAGCCACTCTTGCAAGGCAAACCCCTCTCATTTTGTGTATTAGACCCAGAAGTCATTTTAAATTTCTGTGAAATCATTTTAGATACTCTGTTATTTTAGTACCTCTGCCTTTAGAAGGTTTAACCTCCACCTGCAAGGCTCTGGCTTTAATTTATACCTGTAATAATCTTTCATAGCTTTCTTCTATCATATCTAACATTCTTGAGTTGAAAAACTTGTCTAGTAAACAATTTTTAACTTGTGAGAAAGTGAAAGGCAGGCCTTCAATCAGCCAGACCATGATGATCCCAAATGAACATAATAGACACTCACAAAACATAAACATTGTCCATGTAAAGCCACTCTGTGACCATGTTTGGAGCAAGACAGACAGCCCTTATAAAACCACAAAGAAAGTTAAAAATTTTTCTCTTATATCTAACAGAAATGACTATTACTCCTTTACCAATGATAGCTCTGGTCTACTTCAGCTTTAATTCTCTCTCTATCTTTCTCTTTTAAAAAAAAAAAAAAGAGAGACAGTGCAGCACTCTGTAGCCTAGGATGGAGTGCAGTGGTCTGATCATAGCTCATTGTAACCTTGAATTTCTGGGCTAAAGTGATTCACCAATCCTCCTGCCTTGGTCTCCTGAGTAGCTTGGACTATAGGCATGTGTGACCACACCCAGCTAATTTTTAAATTTTTTGTAGAGACGAGTGTCTTTCTTTGTTGCCCAGGCTGGTCTCAAAATCCTGGGCTCAAGCGATCCTCTCACCTCGGTGTCCCAATGTGCTGGGATTACAGATGTTACAGGCATGAGCCACTGCACCCAGCCAATCCTCTCATTTCCTGGATAAAAATTACCGAGATACCCTATTACTGAGTTTACCCCATTTCTTGACAATATCTAATACAGCACTGGCTCCTGCTTCCTTAAATCCTTCTTAAGATCATCAGTTCAACTGTGAATCATATAAAAAGCTTCTCCCAACTTTCCTTAATGAATTGTCCCGTAATTACTCAAGGGTGCATTCTTACCTGCTGAAGCAAGAAAAATAAACCTAACTTGTTTTTCTTTATTATGGTTGTGTTCCTGCTGGGTTTTGTTTACTAAGATTTAAACTTGTCAGTTTAGAAAGCATATAACATTGTACCCACAAATGAAATAGGCATACACTTTGGGAGTAAGGAGTGGAAAGTGAGGGAGATGAACTGAGACCAGAATGGATTTGTAGTTGTTTGGCTACAGTTGGAGATGTCTCTGGCATTAGGAAATGCAGCCATAGATGAATTGAACCAATATAGTAATCAAATGAGGCAATACATTAATCGGACTTCACTTTTAAAATTTAGGAAATGCAGAGGGTTGTGGGAAGTAGAGTGACAAAGAACTTAGTCCTGGCCGGGCATGGTGGCTCACGCCTGTAATCCTAGCACTCTGGGAGGCCGAGGCGGGCTGATCGCTTAAGGTCAGGAGTTTGAAACCAGCCCGAGCAACAAAGAAAGACTACTAAAAATAGAAAGAAATTAATACACCAACCAAAAATATATATACAAAAAATTAGCCAGGTATGGTGGCATATGCCTGTAGTCCCAGCTACTTAGGAGGCTGAGGCAGTAGGATCACTTGAGCCCAGGAGATTGAGGTTGCTGTGAGCTAGGCTGACGCCACAGCACTCACTCTAACCTGGGCAACAAAATGAGACTCTGTCTCAAAACAAACAAACAAAAAAAACCTGAATCCTATTTCAGCATATTGGCTATAATTTGTGTTTCTGTATCTGGTTTTAGAGTTAATGTGATGCTCTATTTCAGGCGTCCTCAAACATGCGGGTGTTTTTGCCCATTTGTGTTTTTACTTCAAAATAAGATATGTGCAGTGTGCATAGGAATTTGTTCATAGTTTTTTTTAAAACTATAGTCTGGCCCTCCAACGGTCTGAGGGACAGTGAACTGGCCCCCTGTTTAAAAAGTTTGAGGACCTCTGCAATAGAGATCCTCAGTACACTGGGAAATTAGTTGCCCATTAGTGTTTTGGGAACAGAATTCACAATTCAAACAATAGTTTTTCTTTTAGCAAAAAAGACTCTTAGACTCACCTATTCTTACTGGGTCAGTTGGTAAAGAAATTTGTTTAGATAGTGTTTTTCATGTTTAGAAATAAATGAGCCTGACATATTATAACAGGTTGTGCTCACTCATATCAA